AGAACTACAGTATTACTGAATCAGAACATGTTTAGTTAGTGATCCTGGCCCAGAATCAACTTACTCTGAGCTTCAGGAACTTCTCTGCAGCATGCAGCTCTGTGCTCTCTTCTGTGTTTATTTTAGGTTTATTGCTATACTCGTCACACTACCTTGGTGCTTTTGCCTTGTGTTCTGGCAATATGGCAAAACAGAAGTGTCCTTTAGAAAAATATATAGAAATGGAAATCTTTTTTTCAGAATTGCATGCTTAGAGTTAGACATCTGAATTTACGTAGCAGAAAAGGAAACTATGAATTCTTGATATCTTAAAGAGAAATTTGTCTCTTATCAATCGTCTGATCTAAGCCTATTTCTATATTAGTACTTTTTATACAACACTGTCCATTTTGCATTTAGGTTCTATCACTTTTGGACCTCATTGCTTGACATTAAATCACAATTATTGAGAGTAACCTTCAAGCTCTTCAGAACTACATATTCTTTCTCTGATCTCAAATGTTTTTGTCATTCTTCAGCATATGCTTTATGTGATTTTGATGTGGGTTTCATGCAGTCCCCAGATCACTAATGAAATTAGATAACACAGAACCTAGTGCCAGCTCCTCTGAGGTCCCAGTTAATGTACTAGTCCTTATTTGGAAGCTGTACAGTTGCTACTTATTTGCTTCATGATCTGCCGACCATTTTTTATGTCTGCTATGATATTTTTACCAATGCGGTAGTTCTTTAGTCAGTAGCTGCACGGTGCCTGGTTTTGGTGCAGAGATAGACATAGCATTCCTTTCAGCTAATACAGAAAATTACAGAATCATAGAATTGCTTAGGTTGGAAAAGACCTTTAAGACCATCAAGTCCAACTGTTAACCTAGCACTGCCAAGTCCACCACTAAACCATGTCCCTAAGCACCACATCTACACGTCTTTTAAATACCTCCAAGGATGTTGAGTCCATCACTGCCCCAGGCAGCCTGCTCCAGTGCTTGACAACTCTTTAAGTGAATTAATTTCTTTCCTAATATCCAATCTAAACCTCCCCAGCACAACTTGAAGCCATCTTTCAGCTCCAGCTAATTCATTTTTAGTTATTGACTTCTTTACCTAATTAACCATTTGGAATGTTTTTCTATTATCTTATCACTAAATATCCTTAATTTTTTCTGAAATTTTCTGGATCTGGAAACTACATTAGTAGATTGGTAGTTCTGAATGGCTTTCTGGTGATATATTAGAAAATTAACAGAAAACCAGAATAAAAATATTTTTTTCTCCATTTCTATTTTTTAGCAGAGAAAGTCAGTCTAACAGAAAATAGAAAGTTAGGAGCTACCTTGAGTAATTTGTCTCTTGTCAAAACCTCTCTTTGAAGAACAGTCCTAATAAAGAGGTGGTGCTCAAAGAGAGACTGTGCTCACATGAGCACATAGTGGTTGAAAGACCAGTTTTGCTAAAGAAGCCACAGAAAACATGTACTGCCAGGACACATCAATTCAGGTTCTTCTTGTGGTGTTCATATGTATGTATGTAATTAAAACATTCTTCAGGCAGTTAATAACATGTCAGAGTAGCACTCCTGTCTTTTGCAACAATCTCATTATTGAAGGATTCTTAAACAACTGGGGTTGTTTAGTCCAGAGAAGAGAAGGTCAAGGGGAGACTTTATCACCTTCTATAACTACCTGAAAGAAGATTGTAGTGAGGTGGGAGTCAGTCACTTCTTCCAGGTAACAAGTGATAGAACAAGAGGAAATGGGTTCAGGTTGCTCCAGGGAAAGTTTAGATTGGATATTAGGAAAAAAATATTCATTGAAAGTGTTATCAAGCATTGGAACAGGCTGCCCAGGGAAGTGGTCAAGTCACCATCCCTGAGTGTATTTAAAAGATGGGTAGATGTGGTGCTTAGAGATACAGTTTAGTAGTGGACAGCTTATGGGTGGACTCAATGATTTTTAAAGTCTTTTCCAACCAAATGATTCTATGATTCTGTGATTATCAAGTGATGTGGAGTCAGTTATCTCCTTCTGCATCCTTTGCATTCCTGTACAGAACTGGTTTCTCAGCTTTCCTGTTGGGTTGATACTGTACTCCATACACATTGAAGTATTCAGTTAGTCTGTTGGGATGAATTATTTCTTTGGTCATGTTGCAAGAATTTGTAATTTTATCAAGGCACCTGATTCAGCAAGATATTTAAGCACATCGACTAATCGAACTTTTGAGATGCTCAAAACTAGTTATGTGCTGAATAAACATCTCAGTACTTAGTTAATGTATGACCTATGAAGGAACAAAATTTATATCATCTTATATTGAAAACATTGGGTGATATTCTAGCCACTTCTAAAGTAGATGTCTAACATTGTCTGGTCCATGTAGACTAGACTAACTTTATTTACTGTCTTGAACCAGAACACTGACACTGGTCCAGAAAAAGCCTGTATCTGTACAGGTACGGGTACTACAACCACAGATTCTTCCTTTTTAACCTAAAATGTACTCAGTGCATGGAGACAGCTTTTCTTCTTCAGAAGAGGATTTGATGTGCTGTAAAAATGATGTAGGTTTAAATAAAGCACTTAAAATGAATGCTTTGCATTGTAATCATTGAGGCAGCAATACTTTTAATAATATGCCCGCACACTGCTAGCCTCTTGGATCTGAGGGATTTTCTAGTGCAAACCATAATGTAAAATTCATTAGCTTCCAGTAGCCAGGGTTCTGAATCTGTTTGAGCCAATGAATTAATTTTCATTCTGAAAATATTCATAAAATGTTGTCTTATGATAATGCTATATATTACAATGGCAGTGTCATAAATCTAATGTACTTAAAACATAAAACTGGGTATGAATTAACACATTTTAGTGTAAAGTCATTAAGTTGCCCAGATGAATTTTTAAATCCTTGAGTTACCTATGCTGAGCATGTTTACAAAAAGGGAAATGAGTATATGTATTCTTGTGCATCTGTCTGTCTTTCTAGTTATGTACATAGCTAAGTTTTCAGCTGGAAGTGTACATGTCTGTGTGTGCATCCATGCAGTTATATACAACTCCCTGATATGAAGAAATGACTACAGGATGGGTGCAACTACGGTTATTCTCTGCATTTACAATTGCCTAGGAGAAATTGTGTAGGAAGCTTTAGTTTCACACTGACAGATTTAGACTAATCTATTGCTATTGCATGCAGCGGATAAAAGCAAGAAAAATAAAGTAATTAAAGCTTCTGTTCACCCAATTTAGTTGTCAAAATGCATCTGTGAGTTAGATTAAAGGAAGAGGACTTTCAGAAGAACAATAAGGTACTAATTATAATAAAGGGCAGACTGAAAAATTTCACCTTTTCTGTGGACAAGCAGGATAATAAAAATGATGAATTTTAAGGCACTGTTCTGAAGCCTTAGGATAACGGGGTGAACACTCGGTAAGACTTTCTTTGTAACTTTCTGCAATTCTTTTTCAGTGTTTCTTTATCAAAAGTCTGTGCTGTGACCAGGAAGTCAGAATCGACCTGAACATGAATGGAAAAATGCTATTCACTGTTGTTTTTTTCTCAGACCAGAATTCACCATGATTAGCTTTTCAAGTCTGATTTGAAATTGCCCTAGGACTGAACCAAAAATCAGGATTTCCATTTCCTGGATGGGTGAATACAAGAAAAGAGAAAAGCAACAGATGTTGCTTAGCTTTATGCCTGTTCAGCACAGTTGGAACCATGTTATATTGCAACCTTTCTTCTCTTTGCTTTGCCCTGCTGACTCACAGCACAAGTAACATGGGTCCTCACTTCTGTGCTGTGTTGCTTTGTAGGCCCTAAGAGGGACATGTGCAGGATGGAGGGGGTGGTTTGCTAAGGTTACCTCTTAACTAAACTACTTCTAGGGAAATGGGGTGACCAGTGGTTGGTTTTGGCCAAAGTTTTGACTAAGTATTGTGATTATTAATTGCGTGCTATAAATGCTTAGGAGGAATCAACTGCCTGAGCTTCTCCTTACCAAAGTTTGGGAGTAGTTGGATGCCCATCTTTATGTGCATGTGCCACAGGCACAGAATTAACAAGACAGCTGCAAACTTGTCCTACCTCTCCTTTTAACTTCTATATCCCTTAGCGCTGGACCTACCTGAATTCCCATTGCAGAGTAACATGACAGAACCTCTTCAGCAGCTTAGCCCCAGGTGTCAGAGGAGCTGGGAAGATAAGTGATGCTCAGCCTCTGGCAACAGTAAAAAAAAAGCCAACACACCGTGTTGCCACCCTGCCCCTTGTCTCATGATCTTTCTGTTTTTCAGTGTTACATTTACCAACATAAATCAGTTTGGACCAGTTCAGACAAGTTCAAGTTTTTTCACCTGTTCTACCGAATCATTACCAGACTGATGTAAAAATGAATCAGATCTGTTTTGGTCACAGCAATACCTAGATACTAATTGTGCTAAACATGTAATGATTTGACTTCTTGCCTGTGACTGGTGCTGTCCATCCGTGGTGGAAACCTGGCCTGACCAAGGTACAAGAAGCTGACACTCAGGTGTCTGACAAGTCATCCAAAATGACCCTTTTAAAGAGTGTCAAAGCTAGCTCAGGTAGTGTCCATGGAAGTCAAAGTCACAGTATTGACTGGAGTTGGACACACTCTCAGGATCTGCAAAGGAGCCTGAAGCAGTAAGTGTCCAAATTGTGTCCAAAATATTGGTGCAGCTGTATGCTAACTCCTCTGTGTCTTGGACAGTCTCCATTTTTGATAGGGTCTCTAGGCATTAGTGTGAAACTTCTGCTGATAGTATTTGTACTATCATTAAACATAAGACTGAAGTCTTAGGAGACTTAGCTTGCCCTTTACAATAAGCACTTAATTAATTAAAATTACATATACCAAAGAACTTCAGATAGCAAAAATAATAGCTGACGTACTTTTCACTTTAGTCCTCTCGTTTTCAAGTATTTAGTTTTGCTGTGGGTTGAGTTTATGTAACACCTTAATTTTGTATTTTTCACAGAAATGTAACCTGGAATAATTTAGCTATCCCAGACACCCACTGTTCAAGAGAGCTAGAAGAAGGTTACCAGTGCCCACCTGGATTTAAATGCATGGACCTTGAAGATCTGGGACTAAGCAGGCAAGAGCTGGGCTACAGTGGCTTTAATGAGATAGGTCTGTCCTACTGGTAACATCCATTTCAGTATCCATTTTAAAATGTTTATGAAATTAATATAACAAATAGCTCATATCTGTGCTGAAAAGATACTAAGTGCAATCAGTATTCTGCTCAAGTAGAGCATATGCCAGAAAGAGAAGCTGTGCTGTTTGCTTTGGAATGATGTTTATCATCTATTTTTATATTGCCTGGGATCCCAGGACTTAAATAACTTTAAAACAATGTCTTTATTTAAGAAGAGTCAACTGTTGTTTATAACCAGTATGCAAATGCACTGACTAATTTCTGTGTTTTATTTATGATTCATTTTAGAGTATATAATCCATCCTATTTGTCTAATTTTAGTAGTAATTCCCATGCAAAAAAATACCCCAAAAACCACTCAGAATCACTTCGATAGTCATCTTGGTACTAAAGAGAAGAGAGAGAGAAAATGAGATCATGTGTGGCAATCTCGACTCAAATTGTGTAAGTTAGAACACCACCCAGAAAAAATTATTTGGATTTGTGCAGATTTTGCAATACAGGTGTAATTTGTGTTCTGTGAGAAACACTGCAGAGTCACCAGGAGAATACATTCTCTGCTAGCTGCAATGTGTCGTGCTGTCCCCACAGGGAAATGAGTGCAGAGCAGTAATTCAGTAAAGGTGGCAAGGGTATGGGCAGCTGTGGCAAGATCCATATCTGAATGGAAAATACACAGTTACCCTGTCACTGCACTGTGGTTATCTCACATTTATTTGACAGACAAAGGTCCAACCGAAGCCTGTCGCTGTAAATTTTCATAAGCACAGGTAGGGAAGTCCCTTCAAATGATAAAGCATGCCTGCAGGTCATATTCTTTCTGATGCATCTCTCTGACTCTGATAAGCTGCTTTTTTTTTCATTTTTTCCTGGCTTGATCTCCAGACAGTTATCCTGGTTCCAGCTGAACTTTAAGGTAATAAAAAGGTTTAATGACTGACTGTGATCCAAAGAATTTTTTTCAACATTGAAAGCCTTTGCAGCTGAAATCACTTCAGATGGTTCCCAGGCTGCTGAATATACACAGTGAGTCAGAGAGTTACAATACATAGTCTTAGCATCCTGTAACAAGTATTCTGTGATACCAAGTACTTTCTGAATAAAACCTGCCATTTGTGTTCTTTCTTTTTCTCGTGAGAAAGGGGGAAAAAAACTGATTTCAACCAAGCTCCATTCTGTTTCCTCAGGGAATCAGAAGCATAACAGTTGTACTAGTACTGCTAGCTGAATAGCATTACTGATAGTACCTGTATTTTATATAGTTTTTTTCTTCAGTAGATCTCAAAAGACAACCCTGTCTGATCTCTCAGACAACCTTCAGATTCCTAAGTTAGTGGCATAGCACCATGCCTGGGTGAACATGAGCCAAGTTCACATGAGAAACTAAAACCATCCATGCACAAGTTCTCTAGTTCTAGTTGGCTTGGCAGGGGAGCATGGGATAAGTGTATCAACAGAAAAATTATGCCTCAGATTGAAATCACCCTTCTTTTCTTGACACTCAAAATTAGTTGTGGCATTGCAGGCTGTTATTCTAGCTGTCTAACTGGTCACCAGGGAAAAGTAGTTGCAATGCCTTAGACAGGCTTTAGTGGGTAGGTGATTTGAACGAGACTCAAAGTGCTTAATAAAGGAGGCCAGTATGTTTTTAGTGATAGGGGCAGGTTGGCAAAGACAGGTTAAATAGTCTATCCAAGGGTGCCTGCAAAGCTGGTTGAAGAAACAGGGTTCAAACTCTGGTCTCTTGAGCTGCAGTCCTACACTTCAACACTACGTCATTTTGAGTGCTGGAATTTAAAGATCAAGTATTACTAATAGACTTAGGAGACTTGTCATTGATATACTGGTTTTGTCTAGAAATAGTTAACCAAGATATAACACCTCGCAGTACAGCAGTCAAAAGTTAAGTTGAATATCTATTGAAAGTTGATGACTAGACTTATACTGGGTAAGACACGGCAGCTTTGCCACAAAATGTTAAATAAGCTTCCTCAAATTAAGAATGTTATAAAAAGGGTTATAACCAGTGAGTTTATAAATATTTTATAAATCTCCATTTTTTGTTGTACCTTTGTAGGTAGTTAACAGGTAAGTAATGCAGTAGATCTTTTCTGTGTAATTATACTATTTTATTGTATACATTCATTGGTATTTAACTTGCAGATATTATTATACAGCCAGTCCTATTGGTTCCCGAAATCTGTCATTACAAAATTCACAAGAGCATAGCACTTTGGCAGCTACTGTATAATTAGTCCCACTTAATTTACGGGATATAAGTACAAGCTATGCATACTTGAATATGATAATTTCTGTTATTTTTTCTTCATTTAAGAGGAAAAGGAAGGGGGTTTTTTTAGAATTTTATTACTGAATGGAGACCAAACTGTCCTAATCAGATAAAAGTTAATAGAGTTTTTTATACCATGAGGGCTGTGCCAAGTAGTTAGCTCCATATTTGCAGAATCCCTTAATTTTGGCCGTACCCTGCTCCCACTTTTATAAATGGCTTTGGTTTTAAAGGGATGAAAACTGGAAAGATGACAGTGTAAGCTTTGGTGCTTGACAATGTATTTATTTCCCAAGTTTTCTTTTTTTAGTTTTGAGATATTCTGTTTATCTGTTTTATGTATGCTTCTATGCAAGTATGTATGTATTTTTTTAAGGAAGAACATAGTTATAGATTACTGTCAAACATGGCTTGAAGTCATCTTGTTAAGATAATCTAGACCATTCCCCTTCCAATGTGAAGCAGACTTCACAATCTTTCCAGGCAATCTGTTGCACTCCTCCATTGTCTGTACTCTTAAGATTTTCCTAAAGTATAACCTGAATCTTTCTATTTTGCAATTTAAGATCATAATTTCTCACCTTATTCACTATTGACATAGAGAAGACTTTTAAAAAGCTTTTCTGCATCTTTCAAGACTATCATTATACCTATTCTACCCCCTATGGCTCTGCTAGGCCATGTTTCAATATTACGCTATAGGATTTATAATTTATACCTTAAATTATTCTTATTTTCCGTCCTTATTATTGTTTCTCCAGCTGATACACCTCTTTGTTGAAGTGCAGTACTGGCTGAATAACCCAGTAGGGCCATTACTTTATGTGTTTTTAAGCCTTATTACCACTTCTACATCCCAGTGAGATGTTTTCCATTTTCAAAACAGCATGTTGTGGGTGATTCATGTGTTTTTCTGATTTGTTACAGCCCTTGTGTCCTTTTGAAAGAGCTGCCATCATTCTTTCCCATACTTTTTTATTCACTTGATTATTTTTAAATGTAGACCCTTGCATTTGTCTCTGTTGAATAGTGTACTTTGGGTTTTTTTCCAGACTATTTCTTCAATTTGCAAAGATGTTCTGGATTTTTAATTCTTTCCTCCTGAATTCTTTCAGTGCCTCTTAGCTTACTTTTATCTGAAATTTGATGAGAAAAATTTATTTTCTGTCAGCCTGGTCAAAAGTAAAAAAAGTAAATAGAACCAGACCAAGATCAGAGTCCGTTGGAATCTCATTTTATAGTCTTCCTTTCTGACAATGTTTCTTTAATAGCTGCTCATGAGGACACTTAACAAATAGTTTTGCACTCATCACAGAGTTGTTTCACCTAGCCGTATTTCTGTATGTTGTCATGGTGTGACAATATTAAAAGCCTTTTAAAACCAAGATTTAGACCATCAGGTGATTCTCCTCTCTTTACAAAACCTGCTTCCGTTCTGCATTTGTACACCAATAATACAGGAAGATTTGTGCCATGGGTTCTTCAGTGCTTTCAATATGTATTAATAATATAATACTTACACCTGATGTTTGTGAAGGTAATTTTTCAAACACAGGCCACATCAACATAGATCTACAGCTAACGCCTCTGTTATTCCACTTATGTATTTCTAGATAGGATGTAGAATGAAATTAACACCAATCAGGTTTGCCTTGTTTACCAGTGTAATCTCTAATGACAGTGAAATTACTAAAAGCTGGGGCAGTTCTGTTGGGCCATACCTCTAGGAAAGTTATGAGCAACAGCCACAGAGGTCTGTCTTGGAATTGGTTGTGAAACTGGAGAATTAATGACACATTGAGTGGAGAACGAATTAGCTAAGACCTCAGAACCCCAGGTCCCTTTCTTGGTGAAGTTTTGAAATGGGAGGAAGAAATAGTAGAGAATGAATCATCTGCTCCTCTAGGTGAGGTGACTTCAGATGTTTCAGGTTTGCTGATGGGATGCTACAGGAAGTTACTGCTTTCTTCTAGTAAGTTGCTCATGTACTCAGTAGAAATCTGGGTACCCTTTCCAACAGTTTGACACAGAACTTGACTTCTTAAGTAGGTGCTGTTCTTATAGAGTGGGAGCTTTCATATTAAATGAAGTCTTTTATCCATCAGAATGCCTGAAAGATTTCTTGAATACTACCTGTGGGGCTGAGTGGGAGTAAGAGAAAGGATATGAATGAAAGATTTGGCTGGCTGTGTGGATGTGGGTGGCAAAGCTCCTTACTATTCACTATACCTGTATGGTACTGTCAAGCTCTTCTCTTTCTCAGACTTCTTAGCTGATTTTGATTAAGGCTTCTATAAAGAAGTTAACGTTTCCTTCATAGTAGAACAGCCTTCAGCCTTGTCTCCCACGGAAAGCCTCAGGTACATTCACAGTTGGCCTGTTTCTTCTTTCTGATTTTATTCTTGTCTTCTCTGCTTTTTTCCTGATTGTGTTTAGTTCTGTAGGGTGTAGCTGATAGCATGACAGTAACCTGAAGCATGCAAAAAAAGTCAAGCTAAATATTGAGAAGAATTACCTTTGTTTTGTGAATAAATCCCAGCAATTGTACAACTCATTAGGCATATGATTGTTTTTTGCATAAGTATTTTCATCTGATATATCTAAAAGCCATAAATATACTTGTTGAATTAAATAAAAGCAAGCAAGACTTGGCAGTTGGAGAGCTATGACAGGCACTTCTGC